CCCCCTCCCCACAATTTACCACGGGCAACTCTACCCGTCATAACCCGGAAAAATTATTCGAGGTGTATGACGCCAGCCGAGACGATTCGAATTTTAGTAATAAGTCAGTTGCGTTGCATTACACGGACACATCTCCCAGAGGGATTCTCAAATACTTGCTTTTGAATTTACGCGGGAAAAGATGGAGGCTCGGGAGGTTGGATGGTTGAAGTTTTTCATCAATCGGAGGAGTCAGATCATTCCGGTTCGACACTTTGAGGACATCAATGACATCTTGGAGGTTACGTAGGCCAGAAGCCATTCGATGCGTAATCTCTGGCTGGAAATTGTGTCGCATATTCGAATCGTCAAAACTCCCGTGCTTTTTCTTTCTTCGAGGGGGAGGGAGGAATGTGCTTGGAGATAGCCCGAGTTGTAGCGGCACCCGCGGGGGATGATATTAAAACGGAAGGGTCACGTATGATATGGGCAAATACTGCCAAAGTTTCAGCCTTCTAGCTTTTCTGGTTCTTGAGTTGACATACCAACAACAACCACATACTCTTTGGGCCGTCTACACCCTTATTCCCCGAGGATTATTTAGGGAAGAGAGCTAATAGCATTTTTGACTTCCTGGCATGGATTCGGACCTTCGATTCCCAGTACATGGGTGTCTGGGCTTGCCACTACGCCATGATGTTCAGCCATGCATATTTTCACTTCACTCAAACATTTTGGGCTTTCTTCCTTTCCTGTGAATACAACGAGGATTTTTGTTAGGATTTCGTAGTGAGTACAATATAAATATTTCAAATTCAGCCTCCAGGTGTGCAGGGGGTTCTCACGTCCTATGGGCACTTGAAAGTTTTGGCGGGAAAATTGCTCACTGAACAGCTAGGTCATTTTCAAAGAACAATCCTTGTAACTGTTTCTGGGCCTTTTTTGGGGGGAAAGTGGTACTAGCGCTCAACTCTTTCAACTCATTCTTCCCCTTCCTCTTCTGTCATACCTTCCCGACTCATTTTTTGGCCACTTCTAGTACAACTCAAAAAATAGGGAACTATTGTTATTTGCCGAAAAATGTACGGGCAATTCCAGGCTGGAGCCAATATGCTTCATAAAAATTGTTTTGTTGTTGTGAAAATTAATGTTTTTACCCGTAAAGCATTTCCTTCAGGTTTGTTTCGAAGATGACGAGTTTCGACAACCCGGGCCTTTTCTATCAGGTTTTTGCTTTTATATTTTAAAGTAATCTCGCGGCTTTTTTTTTAAATTCAAATTTTTGCCATAATTTAATACTATAAAGCAAAACTGTATAAGCCGAGAGCTCTCAGCTTTACCTAAGCATCAGCTTCATAAATAGGGATGCCCAACACTGCACAGGGGCTTTCACAAAAGAAAATTCCCACTTGCATAAGCTCAGTTTTTATTTGCTTTTTTGCTTTCTTTAGCTTTTATTCATAGATTCCGACACCAAACAGACGATGCTTACTAAATTAAAGACATGCAGTTCAAGGTGGATAAAAAAGAGCCTGGCATAAGTGTGCTGAGTGTGTGAAAACATCCCAGTAAAATCACTAACATTGGACATCCACATCGATCTGCGATTTTTATGCTAATCTGATTATCGCATGATTGTGTCATGAAAGTAATATGAAGAACTTAAAAAAGAAGGCAAAAATAGAACGAACTATGTAATGCAAGAGATAGAAATATTGCTGGTACAGGAAAAATAAGTATGAGAACGAAAATTTTGTTAGAGTTTTGAATACCAAACTTCCCAAAAAAACATATGTTTCTATATTTTTCGGTTTTTGCAGCAACGGTTTTTTGCCACGGGTGATGAGGATGGGCCGCCGGATGAGGGTCGAGAGCTGATCATTGAGCATAAACAGACCGTGGATTTGTTCCGGGAATTTCTTCGTGAATATAATGTTGGTGGTTTCGGTCTGGT